CGCCTGGCCGCACGAGCTGCTATACGCGTTTCCACCGCTGGCCCTGATACCCCCCACTCTCGCCAGAGTGAGGGCATTCAATCACAGACTGATCCTAATAGCTCCGCACTGGCCAGCGCAACACTGGCTGGCGGAGATATTCCAGTTGCTGTGCGCCCAGCCTTGGGAGCTGCCGCTGCGCAGGGACCTGCTCTCGCAGGGTGCGGGGACAGTGTTCCACCCACACCCGGAGCGACTGCAGCTGTGGGCCTGGCCCGTGAGTGGCTTAATTTAACCACTGCCGGGCTCCCTCAGAGTGTAATTAATACTATCCAAAACGCCAGGGCTCCCTCCACTAGGAACCTATATGGCTCCAAGTGGGGACTGTTTGAGTGGTGGTGTCTTGAACGGGACTACGTTCCTTTTCAGTGTTCTGTACCAGCGATTCTGTCGTTTTTACAGGAACTGATTGATAAAGGAAAAGCTTTTTCCACGGTTAAGGTTTATCTGGCAGCTATAGCAGCATGCCATATAGGATTTGGAGACAAAACGGCGAGCCAACACCCTTTGGTTTGTCGGTTTATGAAGGGCGCCCGCAGGCTCCTCCCCGTCTCCAGACCTTTGCTGCCTCCGTGGGATTTGTCTGTGGTTCTGGAGGGGCTTAAGGGACCCCCATTTGAACCGTTGTTGGGGTCCAGTCTTAAACATCTGTCTCTCAAGACAGTGCTGTTACTGGCCCTGGCCTCTGCGAAACGAGTCAGCGACATTCATGCGCTCTCTGTGAACCCCGCATGTACCCGGTTCGACCCGGAATACACGCGTATGGTTCTGAAGCCCAACCCGGCCTTTGTTCCTAAAGTGGTTGGTTCTTGTTCACCGATCGAGCTAGGGGCGTTCGCCGCCTCCCCAGGTGAACGGCGAGCGCACACGCTGTGCCCTGTTCGAGCCGTGCGCTCTTATATGGACAGGACGCAGAGCTTCAGGATGAGTGATCAGCTCTTTGTCTCCTGGGCGGAGCCCCGTAAGGGGCAGCCGATCACAAAGCAACGCCTCGCCCACTGGGTGGTGGAGGCTATAGCTTTGACGTATGAAAGCAGGGGTCTGCAGCCCCCGGCGGGTCTGCGTGCACACTCTACCCGCGGGATGGCTGCGTCCTGGGCTTTATTTCGGGGAGTGTCCGTTCAGGACATTTGTTCAGCGGCGAATTGGTCTTCGCCTCTGACTTTTGTCCGGTTCTACATGCTTGACGTGTCTGGACCGTGCGTGGCCAGTGCGGTCCTAGAGTCATAACTGACCTTGTGGACCTTCCCCATCGGCCGGTTCTTGTTCGATAAGCTGTCTGGCAATACGGGAGCTACCATATCCCATAGCGAGACACCGAGTGAATATTATGAAAAAGAACGTTTGGTTATCTAACATAACCCCAGTTCTTAGAATAATATGAGCGAGGTGTCTCGCCAGACGACCCTTCTTGCAGGGCGGCGAGAAGAGGTTTGCTTGTTGAATTGGAGTGCCGTGATCCGCACACGCTTTAGTAGTCGGAGCTACGGGGCGTGGCGTATGACGGGCACTTCCACCGGCCAATCAGGATTGGCAGATTGAGATAGATGCTTCTATCAGGGCTGCAGGAGGCTGCATCCCATAGCATAGCGAGACACCTCGCTCATATTATTCTAAGAACTGGGGTTATGTTAGATAACCAAACGTTCCATCTGCTTCAGCATAATCAGCAGTTTTGTTTTTCTTCGTTTTTTTCTCTCTGTTTGGCGGAATTATTATCATTATGATTGTTTTTCATACTTATGTTTTTGGTTTTTAACCCACTAATGTCTGGAACATGGGTTGTATGTGTGGGTGCGGGTGTAGTAATTGTCTTGTTCATAGTCGTTTTTTTTTTTTGTTTTTTTTTTTTGTGATGTCGGTGTGATGTAATCATGGAGTCTTTTTGTTTTGTTTTGTATGCCCTGGACGGGAAGTCTGTTGGTTTAATATGAAAAACTAATAAAAACAATTTGATTATTATTTGTTTTTGTTCCACTCTATAAAGCCTCGAACTCAACGCTAGTTCTGACATTTTGAATTGAAAAAGCTTCCTGGATCGAAAGCGAAATGTCTTCAAACTTGGAAACAAAATTCAGTGGATTGTTTTTTAACTTTGTTGGAATAATCTGTTTATCAAGCAGTGAGGAAAGACTGTCTGATTTGTTCCACTACAGAGGAAGCCAACAAAAAACACAAGTTCATTTGACTCCAATTTATGATTTGTCTTTTTTTTTTTTTTTTATGGCACTAGTGGCTCGTTTTTCTGACAGTAGGCTGACTATTTATTGTCAGATATATAAACAAACCCCTGATAATGCTGGAACTGAGCTATAAAGCTTTAGAATCATCCACTAGTTTCATTTCTAAAGACTCAATCCTGCAGCTGAGCTGACTAAAATCATGTGGGTGTATTTTTTGTTTTTTTCACAGCAGAAATCTCTACGCTGTGAAAGGAGACGAAACACAGAGCTGATAAACGTGTGAGCTGTGGTAACCAACGACCTTCACTCTGTGTCTGTGTGAGCATCAAAGGTCGGTAGATCAGTATTTCAGTTTTGCTTGTTTTAGAAAACCACAACATTTGGTACTTTGCCTTGTTACTCAGCTGGCCTGTGATGAAGGAAGCAGCACTGATAGTTTTACTGAGGGTTGTTGGTCATGTTCTACAGCTTCGGTTCCTTTGTACACAACAGAAACATCCATCTGCCAGGAATCTTTTTACAGCAGCAGCCATTCAAAATGGCCCTTCCCAGTCAAAATCCCCTCCAACTTCCAGCCACTAGCCTTCTCATGGGTGTGCATATTTATTACTCTGACTCCACCCTTTCACTGAATAACAACGTCTCACCAGGAGATAACACTTCTCTTTAGATCTTAATGTCCACAAATCATAACAGAAATAATATTTTAGATGTTTTAAAACAGAATTGTATGGGACTAGCCAAGGAAATTGGGGACATTTTGAATGTCTACTACTGTACCTTCCTTGTGAAACACACTTTTTCTAATATCCTCCCTTTCTACATAAAGAAAAAATGGCCACATGTTTCCAGTATATCAGATCTACAAACAAGCCTAAATTATTACGATACAGCGAGAATTCAACTGCAGGATTATTGCAGAACTAACCTGACTCCGCCAGATGGATTTGCTCCGCATATCCATCTGGAAATCTTCCGTTGAAGTAATTTTGGGAAGGGGCGAAAATACTGGTTAGCTGATTGGCCTATGTTGGTGATAGAAGGGCCAAATAAACCAATCAGATCAACGAAGCATATGACGTACTAACAGAGCGACGATGAAGAGGAGCCAATTGATAGATCAAACTCTTGCCGAAACCAGTCGGGAGAAGAGCAAAAACATTTTTTCCTCTGAGAAAAGCCTCCAGAGCAGTGTTTTGCTCTTCTTTCAGTGAAGAAATACTCTGTAATTCCGATAAAACTTGCTCGATAGCCACGCTAACGCTAGTTTCATCGGCTGAAGTCGCCATGTTCTTTAGACTGAACTGTCGCGCTTCTCGTTGCGTCACACCTCAACCCGCCTCAAAGCCAACACTGATTGGACGTTCGTTTGGTGAATGGCTCCAAATTTTCTTTAACGGAGAGTCTCCAGACTGATTAGCGAGTGAAACCTTGAAAGCTCGCGAGATCAGGATGGTCTCACGAGGCTATTGCAGAACTGGACTAGAGCGGAAATTCTTTTGAGGAAAACAAAAGGAGCTTACAACATTTTTTTCTTAACTAGAAACTGTTACATTAACGCCAACAAAATTACTGGATTCACAAAATATATATATTTTTTGCTTTTTGTTTCACTGTGTAACTTTTAGCCACTAGGGGCACTAGACCAGCAAATTCCAATGTTTAGACAGGAATACTTGGCTGCAGGCTGGAGACCTAGACCCAATCCCAAACCGTCCCCTAAACAGTAATCCCGAGCACTAAAACTTTTTGCGTTCCCGCGGAGGGTCCACCCCATCAAGGGCCGTCCCAAACCACACCGGTGGTAGGTTGGAGTTGACCATTCAGCAGAGATGGGAAATGTGGAGTCAACAAGTCATCTCCATGTCATGTATTTAATCTACCCAGCCAATTAGCCAGGTGAGTCCAAACCTGCACAGGCTGATTCATGGTGAAGATTAGACTCACCTGCTTCAGTAGTTGGGTAGAACAAATACATGACAAGGAGATGACTTGTTGACTCCAAATTTCCCATCTCTGCCGTTCAGGCCTTAAATAGATCGAATTTAGCGGCAGGTGTAATGGCGAACTAATTGCAGAGAAAACAAAAGCATTTAAATGTAAGTTCTGCTGGTTTGTTTCTTTGTCTCCCAGACAAAAAAAAATCAAAATTTTTCAAAAGAAAAAAAAAAGGTAAATTAATAAAATGACGTTATAATTTTCTATGATGCCAATTCCAGATTGCTAAGCTCACTAATTGAATGTCAAAACGACTTGCCATACCCCATTTCTTACATGACAGTAGAGCTTTCTTCTTTTGTATGATCGATTGTTTGGTTTTAATTTTTTCTCTACCATGAAGCTGATAATAAAAAGATATGAAAAAGTGGTAAAAGTGATGCTTCAAGATTGACTTAAAAATTAGGTTTGGGTGTGAGTCCTGTGAAATTAGGGTTAGTAAATAGCAGCTGGTGAGGAGAATCTATGAAAACATCTGAAGTCAAAATATATGATGATTCACAGAATATGGTTTAACAACGGTGGTGCAGGGAGTTTTTCCTCTCCACTGTCGCCCTAAACATGCTCGGTGTGAGGGATTCCCTTCGAGTCAAGGAGTCGATGCAATCAGCTGGTTTTCCTTAGATGGAAAACTTTGAATCATTTTGACTGGATGATCTGGTGAACTGTAAAGTACCTTGGGATGACGTGTTGTGAATTGGCGCTATAGAAATAAACTGAACCGAATTGTTGTCTCTGTGTGTGTTCATGCATGTGTGTGTTCATTTGTGCGGGTCCCACCTCCCAGACAAAGAGCTCGCAGACGGCTGTGTGCCAGCTGGATGTCGGCAGGCGACGGCAGCTCCTCCCCCAACTCCACCACCACGCACAGGGAGGACTGACACCCGAACAGGACCAACTCCAGGTTCCTGCAGTAAAACAACATCCTGAACTTAACACTATACAGCGTTTCTATGACTTAAGAGGAAAGGTAACATCCAGGTGTGATGCTTCCACAGGCCTATTGGCTCATGAAGTTCTCTTCGTTCTTCAAGTTTTAACACAGTTACTTGATAAACATTTAAAAAACATAGGAGGAAAGAATGAAGTGTGAAAACTAGAGAAGCAAACTAGATTCTGCGGTTCTGACTTTTTAACAGCTTTTTTTTCTGTAGCTTTAAAAAGCCGCCTGTGGGTATCAACCTTTTGAAATCGGTTTCCTGTTTAGGTAGCGATCAAACTTATCAGAAAAAAACTCCCTGAATCAAAACATGACGTGGTCTCAGAGGCTTTAAGTGGTAAACCTGCAGAAGAAAGCCTCACTGAATGGAAGAGAGAAATAAAGCAGAGGAGCGAAAAAATATGTAAAAAAAAACAAACAGATGAGGTTGAAACTCCATAAAGTGTTTGTTTTTTTACTTTCCGTATGTCCAAAGTGTACATGAACAAATTATTTTTATATAATATTATTTACTGTTTATCTAATGCATTTTTTTGTTTGTTTTTGTTTTTTCTTTTTTTTGTGACAAATGCTAAAGGACTCACTAAAGGACATTAATCATTGTCATGTTTTTGTTGTATACCTGTAAAAAATCTATAAAAATAAAGTGGTGGAAAAAAAAATATGTGAAAAAAACAGATGTAGTGGGGATTGCTGTTTCATGTTTAAAGGTAAATTCTGGTTCCTCTGATGCATGGAGGAAACATTTTCATTATTGTTTCAGAGAAAGAATAAAAAATAAATGGTTTAATCACTTTTATTTGTGTCATATATTTTTTTTTTATTCTTTTTTTTTTCAAATTTCTCTCCTTCAGATTCGGTTTTACACCTTAAATTCTTCACTGCTAGGAGAATGAAGGAGCTCCCAAAGGATCAGATTGTGACGTCATCCTGGAAAGAAACATCAGCTGTGCTGCTTCCATCAACACCCTTGTTTATAGATGTTGGAGATCGGCCTGTTTCCAGTGTGGTCCTGTTTCTCTGACCGTGACTGAGTGGATGTGCTCTCTTCGTCCTTTGGCATGGGAGCTGCCTTGGAGCTCGTCTGCCTGGCTGTGTGTTTCCTGGACGGGGCCACCTTTTACAGCTGCTTTTTCTATCCCTGCTTGTGTCTCCTTGAACCCCAGTCGGCCTCAGCAGATGGCCGCTCACACTGAGCCTGGTTCTGCTGGAGGATTCTTCCTGTTAAAAGGGAGTTTTTCCTCTCCACTGTCGCTACAAGCATGCTTAGTGTGAGGGATTGCTGAAGAGTCAATGAGTCGATGCAATGAACTGGTTTTCCTTAGATAGAAAACTTTGTACCAATTTGACTGTATGATCTGGTTGAACTGTAAAGTGCCTTGAGATGACATGTGTTGTGAATTTGGCGCTATATAAATAAACTGAATTGAATTGAATTGAAAATTTGAGAATGAAAAAAAACAGAAATAAACTGCTGTGTGAACGTAGCTTTAGTGATGCTTAATGCGGAACGATATGACTGAAGGTTGACCAAAACATTTTTAAAAAGTAAAACGATCCGTTTCCATTGCTATTGCTTGCTAGCAGACCTCCAAAATAACTATAATAGATTTTTTTAGGCTTTAACAACAATAGCTACAGAAGCTGAAAACAGACCATGACTAACTGGATGTGCTCTCTTCATCCTCTGACATGGGAGCTGGCTCGGAGCTCGTCTGCCTGGCTGTGTGTTTCCTGGACGGGGCGCCTTTTACAGTTGCTTTTTGTATCTATACTTCTTTTTCTATGTCTGCTTCTGTCTCCTTGAACCCCAGTGGGCCTCAGCAGATGGCCGCTCACACTGAGCCTGGTTCTGCTGGAGGTTTCTTCCTGTTTAAAGGGAGTTTTTCCTCTCCACTGTCGCTACAAGCATGCTTTAGTGTGAGGGATTGCTGAAGAGTCAATGAGTCGATGCAATCAGCTGGTTTTCCTTAGATAGAAAACTTTAAATCAATTTGAATGGATGATCTGGGGAACTGTAAAGTGCCTTGAGATGAAGTGAATTGGCGCTATAGAAATAAACTGAATTGAATTGAACCAGAAGTTATTGGGATCAAACTGTGAAATAAATCCAGCTGGAAGGTTTAAATCAGTCCCAGACCTGAGGTCGTCCTTCTCGTGGTAGATGTTGTACTGAAAGCTGGACATGCGCAGCAGATCGCTGCCTCTGGGATGCCTCCAGCACCAGCGCTGCAAGACAAATAAATAAAAATACAACCAAGCGTGAAAGATATCCCTACATTTAAAAACAAAAATCCCGTCTCTCTTGTATTCCATGACATTTACAATATATTGAATTTAAAAAATATTACACCACTGCATTCTAGCAGTTTATTGTGTCGGCTGTATTAATTACTGATGAAGAAATATAAATGTTTTCTTATACATTATTGATATAACAAAACAGGAACCCTTAGATATAAGACATAAATATATAAGATATAAAACTATCATTAAAAGACAGGGTATCTCACTCTGACATACCCAGGGGTTATATACATAATGTGGACACACTGTATATACTGTATATACCCCCATGCACCTTTTTCTTCTTTTGGCAACCTTCCTTCTTTTTGACTATTGAGTCGATCTAAGGAGTAAATTTCTCCACTATGAGATCAATAATGATGTTTTAGTGTGTAATTTGTTCTGTTGTTTCTTGTGTACAGTCACTGTGTTTTGTGTAAAAGCCTAACTGGGGTCAGGCATTGAGAATTAGCCTTAGCTAAAATGTTGTAGTGTGTGACATGATTCATGAAACATACTTGTCCCTATCAAATAAACCAATAAAATAAAAAAATAAAGTCTATCAATCAATCAATCTGACACACTAACAGGGTTAATAGTTACTTGATTTCACTAAAGTGGATGCTAACTGTGATATAGCTCTCTGTTTTAGCACATTAACTCCGCTATGCTAACTGCTAGCATGTCTTGTTCTTTCATATTATAAATATTTGTTTCATCTCCTCCCGTTTCCTATCAAATCCTCATCTTCTGAGAACGGCAGAGAAGTTACGCTGCTTCGTCATGCAGCGCGGCTAAAGAGGAGCTATTTAGGTAAGAAATGTTAATCAACTGCAAAAACAATCTAAAAATGAGTAAAAATGTCTTAAATTAAGTGTATTTACCCTTAATTTGAGTAGATAAATAAGATGATTTACCAATGGAATGGGTATTTTTACTCTTTAAATAAGATAATTAGATAATATGCACTTGAAATAAGACAATGCAATTGCATTTTCTTATTTTAAATGTAAATTGTCATGTTTGGCAAAATGTCTCTTTTATCTCCTCAATTCAAGAACAAATGCACTAATTTTAAGAAGAAATTACTTATCTAGATTTTGTTTTTTTTCCAGTGTTCAGTGTTTTTTTTACAAATAGAACCACATAAATTTCATTTTTTATCCTTTTCTCCATTAAACAGTGGAAGTAATAATGGACTGGATCCATTTGTGGTTCCGGTCTAGCTGCCTTGGCTCTGGCATCCTGCAAATACTACTGGGGATTAACATAAGAATGAAAAGCCCTCTAGTGGACAGCGGTAATATTACAACGCTGATGGATATTTCTTTTCAGCGGCCATCATCAATTAATCAATTACAATAAGATTAAAGATCTGTTTAAACTCCTACTTATAAGTAGTAATTTGATAGATAAATATATATGCAAAAGTATATTGAGAGAAATCAAGTCCAAATTTGAGCTTTTAGACAAAACATTGAAATAATCTGATGTTTTGTTCTAAGAAAAAAACAATGTGAGGGAATGAGGTCAAATATCTAATGCATAATTTGTTAAAAATAAAGAATCCAAAATGTGTCTCATGGATTGAAAATGTACCAGTTCTCCTTCTGTCAATGGAGCAATTCATGCATCAGTTTGTGCAGTTTGAAGTGAAGCAGAGCTGTAAGTCTAAAGAGGAGCTGCTGAAACCTACAGGGATCCGTCCTTCGTTGAAGTGGGCGAAACTCTTCTTCAGCTCCGTGTCCAAAACCTTGTGAGGGACCACGATGTACTTGGACAGGCTGTCGGGGGGGGGGGGGGGGGGGGGGGGGGGGGGGTGGCAAAGAGAAAGGCTTCGGTTCAGACACGGGTTGATTTATTTCACATTCAAAGTATCCAGATCAAAGAACATTGGAGCAGAGCATGAGGGAAGAGTCTGCATCAATTCCTCCTCAGGCTTCTGAGCCCTGCTCTACTTCTGCTCTGTGTGAGGAGGAAATGCACGTCTCTGCCTATTTCCTGCGCTTCAGCTGGGTGCAGGCTGCGGTTTTACCTGTTGGACATCTCGAAGCGGTCGTTGACGGAGCTGACCCTCCAGCTCGTGGCCCCGCACCTCTCCAGCTCCTGCTCCCAGTCCGCGGCCGACTCAAACCAGTTCATGTGGGAGTCTCTGCGGCGGTTGCTTAGAAACTGTTTCATTTCTGGAGGAGGGAGAGGAATTCAAACACTTCAGCCGCATTTCATATTTATTTTTCAAATACTGTTGTGCTATTTGGGAAACTTTGGAGGGGAAACTTTGAAGGATTAGAAGAAATGTGTTCTCCTCCTTAAACCTCTTGCTTCTTTTCTCTGTGTATTCAGGTTATTTTAAGTTCATAAAATCGCATCTGAATAACAAAGACTTCTAGATAGATGTGATTTGAACAAATTAGACGAAAGAAGACCTTTACGCCCTAAAGAACACCATTATTGGAGAAAACCAAACAGCTCATCAGCATAAACACATCATATCACCTGTCAGGCACGGAGGAGGCTGTTGTTTTTGCAGGAGGAAGGTCTGAGTACCCTGCACTCATTTAGTGAACATTAACTCCTCCGTGTGTCAGAAACTACCCTTATTGTCCAGTAGACTGATGTGAAAACCAACCAGTGAACAGTGTCTAGCTTGAACGGTGTTCATTGTATACGAACGGATCGGTTTTAAAGTAATGAATGTAAATGGAGGCGACGTTTATTCTGAGTTTAATGAGCGACGGACACAGCTCACAATTGATAACGTCACTTTTCCTTGAATAACGTCAGGTTTTACCGCACTTATTACGTCAAACAGCCTGACAGACCAGCCTGTCTACTGCTAGCACTAGTCTGTTCCATTCAGATTCATCTGCTGGTATTTCTGATGCCAGTTTAGCAGAGAGCTTGGCCGAGTTTGATGAGCTAACAAATGAAGACTCGGACAGAAAAAGAAGCTGCCCACCGGGACTTAAACAAGTCCGTACGTCAACCACGTCCATCTTTTCAGCAGAACCTGAATGTTCCTATATAGCCCCGTTTACACTACCCTTTTGAAACCGTGCCGAGATCGGTCTGAGCACGGTGACCGAGATAACTGTTGAGTATAAATGGCACGCACAACTGAATCGGACCGTGCCAGACACAACTGAACCGCGCTAGCATGGTACTAGTTCATCAGTAGGGCTCAGTAGGTTTGGTTCTCAGATAACAGAAAGCGCATGAACACAACGCGTCATCTCCTTACAGTCAGCCTCCGTTATCAGGAAATTTCAGACATTCATAAACACCGTGCCACATGATTTCAAGTGATGATTCTGCTCAGCAGTGTGATGAACCTCAACGTTCGTCAATGTTTACTGCGCCTGGAAGCCCTGATTAGACTATCGTTTGTTGTATCAACTTCCCAAAAGCCGACCCTGTCAAGAAAATTCGCTGAAGGCTGCCTTCTTTGCCTGACTCACTGCAAACTTTCTGAATGTTACAGGAACGCCATGTTGGTTTGCTTGTTTGCTTCAACAGGGGGTCCACAGAGATACTGCATGGGGGTTGCAATAGTTTAGGTTGATTTAACTTTTTTTGTATTCAACCCTGCAAATTTTTTCCACTAATTGAAATGTCTTTAAATCCACGTTAACATGAATTCAACACACTGTAGTAAACCAATAAATGGAGGCAGAAGATGTCTTTCAGTCATCAATGCTCACATTCAGTGACACGCAGGAGCTCTTTCAAGCTGGACACCGTTTCATTCTTTACTTTAATAATCCCAGGGTGAAATTACTTTCCTTTCATGACTCCATCTGTGATAGACTGACTGTAGGACCATATTGATAGAACATAATTTCATACAATATATATAATTAGGGGGTCCCATCTCCATCTCGCCATCAGTTTGGGGGTCCTTGGCCTGGAAAACGTTGAAGACTCCTGATCTAGAGAGCAGTAGTACCGTAGATCGTCACTAGGAAGCTAGGAACCATGCTAGCGTGGTGTGTAAACGGTCGTAAGGAACCGAGCACGGTCCGGTTAACAGATCCAAGCTTGATCCGAACTCGGCACAGATCGGTTTTCCGAGGTGTAGTGTAAATATGGCTAATGCTTCTGAAGTTCTGTGTATTTTGGCTAAATAAAGGCTTTGCTGCACAACCAGTCAGTGATGGGAGTAACGACGTAGAAAGTAACGGCGTTACTAACGACACTACCTTTTTTAGTAACGAGTAATCAAAATGATTACTCTTACAGTAACTATAACGCAGTTACAAGTGCCGACACCCCGTTACTGCACGTTACTCAGGTCGCACAATTAACCTTTTTTCATGATAGGACTCGTGCGCGCGTCATGAGAGAGTGGAGGATGGAGAGTGAGGAGGACTCCAGCAGCCAAACAGCGCTTTCCAGATGGAAATACCGGTGTTACGTCGAGCTGCGTTTCCTCATCAGATACGGTTTCCCCTGCATCTCCGCACAGCGCGGCGGCACGATTAACCGCGCAAGCGACAGGAAACGCGCATGCTCGCTAAAGGCGCGTAACAGCTGCCCTGTGCTCGCGCCACAGGGGAACTACGGAGAGCGTGAACGATCATTAGCCTATATGGAAAAAAAGAGAGAAATATGGATGGATGGATGGATGGATGGATGGATGGATGGATGGATGGATGGATGGATGGATGGATGGATGGATGGATGGATGGATGGATGGATGGATGGATGGATGGATGGATGGATGGATGGATGGAAAAGATAGATAGAGCAACATGTTGCAGTATCTATAACAACCCAAACACAGGATTTCAGAATTAGACATCCCCAGTTATTAATTTCATACACTCGCAAAAGTAACGCAATAGTTACTTTTACTAGTAACTAGTTACTTTTATTGTGGAGTAACTCAGTTACTAACTCAGTTACTTTTTGGGAGAAGTAACTAGTAACTATAACTAATTACTTTTTCAAAGTAACGTGCCCAACACTGCACCCAGTATACCTTAACTGCATCCAGTATTCTCCATTTATTTCTATATATTATAATCACACATTTAAAGGGTGAAATATGAGGTTCTATTGTGTAGAACTGTGGCTTCATTTACCAAATGAACTTGAACTAGTTCAATTATAGGTTTGTGAACTTAGTTCATTTTCTTCTTTGTGAACTTTTTTTTTTTAACCAGTGAAACATAATTTTCTCTGCATCATTTCTATCTAAATCCTTCCAGACTGACTGCAGCAGCATTTCACACCGAGGAAGCTGAACAGACACACTTAACCCTTCGGGGCAGAGTTGAACTCCAGGTTATCTAACTACTTGATGCTGAAGGGGGATGAATTATTAATCTAAGAGCGAACAGTCGTCCACAGAGGCCAGCCTAACGTAGCGTAGCTTTAGCATCCCTTGCTATAGAGGGGCTCATGTTTCCATACATGGCTACAGAAAGTATCCCGCAGCTCATTTAGAAACCAAACTTCTCAGGCCTGTTTTTAACCGAATAGCTGTATTTAAAATAATTCTACCTCTTTGATATGATTATACAGTTAGTTTGGGGGGTTTTAATCTTTCCTACATGCAGCCTTTAAATCAATGCCTAGGTTTCAGACCGCTGACAGATTTCCTCCCATATGGTTAAAGTTTCAATCCAGGATGTTTTCATTGTGCTGCGACTTAACAGAAGGATTCCAATAGATCTGCAACTTGAGAAGATGTGAGCTTGAGGCGTTATAATGCTCAGCGAAGATTTCATGATGTTTCCAATTTTACATTCTGCACAAGTTTGAGTTCCAGCGTCGCACTCAGATGGTGTTACAAATGGTGGAATGACAGAGAGATGGCCGACGGACGGCCTCCACAGATTTCAGTACATTCTGTTTTTAGCCTGAACGAAAAGCAACGTGAGAAAACTATGAAATGATCTATAGAGGCCAAAATAAATGATAAAAATATAATTGATTATCTTGGGGTGTTTTGTTCTCTCATGAACTTAATTTACATGTTAATGGTAACTGATAAACGCTCACTTGCGATGAATGAGGGGGTGGAAGGAAAATAAAAAAGCAGTGTTAATAGTTTCGGATAATTTCTGTTAAAATAATCAACTGTTGTTGAACTGAGAAAACATGTTGGGTTGTTCTAGCGACAGCTGACATCATTCTGGGTGCCAAAAACCATGGAACCAACTGTCAAGCATGGTAGTGGCAGCATGATGCTGCGGGCTCACATTGCTAATAACAGCCTATGAACTAAACCAAGCAGATATTCCTGTTGGACAATGATCCAAACAAACTTCAAAAGTGAGCTTGGAAAACATTGAGAAGACTAACATCTGGGTTTGTCTCGGAATTCAACTTTATTGAACATTTACGGTCTATAAGTGTAAAGCTATAGTCGTATGAAATTAATTTAGGTCCATTATTGGTTTGAAAATGAAAATTTGAAAAAATAAAAATTAAACCCAGAAATGAGACTAAATAAAAAAAAGGTTTTAAGGGTAACTTTGTTTTGGAGAAATTTGAAAAAAAAAAATATATAATTGAAAATATAAAATCTATTTTAAAAAATGGGGAAAAATTATATCAAATAAAATGAGAACATTTATGGTCTATAAGTGTAAAGCTACAGTCGTATGAAATGAATTTAGGTCCATTTTTGCTTTGAAAATGAAAATTTGAAAAAAAAATTGAACACAGAAATGAGATTTTGAAAAAAATCTAAATAATAAAAAAAAGGTTTTAAGACTAACTTTGTTTTGGAGAAATTTGAAAAAAAAAAAATATAATTGAAAATATAAAATCTATTTTAAAAAATGGGGGAAAATGATAAATAAAATGAGAACATTTATGGTCTATAAGTGTAAAGCTACAGTCGTATGAAATTAATTTAGTTCCATTATTGTTTTGAAAAGGGAATTTTGAAAAAAAAAATTTAACCCAGAAATGAATGTTTCAAAAAAATCTAAAAAAAAAAAAAAAAAAAAAAAAAGGTTTTAAGATTAACTTTGTATTGGAGAAATTTGAAAAAAAATATATAATTGAAAATATAAAATCTATTTTAAAAAATGGGGAAAAATGATAACAAATGAAATGAGAACATTTATGGTCTATAAGAGTAAAGCTACAGTCGTATAAAATGAATTTAGGTCCATTATTGCTTTGAAAATGAAAATTTGAAAAAAAAAATTAAATTAAATTAAACCCAGAAATGACACTTAATAAAAAAAAAGGTTTTAAGGTTAACTTTGTTTTGGAAAATTTTGAAAAATATATATAATTGAAAATATAAAATAAAAATAAAAAATGGGGAAAAGTTCAGAGCAAAATTATAATAAACTGAGAAAAAACAGTAGTTGATCTGAAACCATTTTTGTTATGACATTTTTCTAAAGTTTAGCTTTTTCTTTTCAAATTTCTTACGTTATTTTGTTTGTAACAATAATGTAACAAAATTCACTCCATAGCCGTCTACCATGAAAACAAATTGTTTAATCTCTACAAGAAATTAAGCTGCAAGTGGACAGATTTAATCCAAAACCACGATCAAGGCCTAAAGAAGCATGAACCAAAATGCAAAAGGACATTTAACTCCTGATTAGAAGCAGCAGGAGTATTTTTAAAACGTTTGAAAACAAAAATAATAATAATGTATAAGGCTGTTTTTTTTTATTTTTTTTATTTCTGTTGTAAATAGAACAATTGTTTCACAGTGAAAAAAAGACTGGCTCCAATAAATCACTAAAATATAAAAAATAATACCAAAATGGCTCCGTTTCGTAAATTAATCTGACCAATGAACTGAATTCTAACCCATTTACATCCTGAGGAGTCAAAATAATCAAAGAACATTAAAGGAAAAGCTGGGATCTGGTGTCAGTTCCAGGAAGCCCGCCGAGCGGTCGCGTTCAGTAAACCACTTACCCACACTCCCAAGGGCGGCGTTCTGGAAAGATAAAACGGACCCGGGTCTCAGAGGCTGGTAGGTCTTGGCGATGGTGAAGGTTATCTGAGGAGGGAAACCACAGTGAGCCCATAAACAGGACAATAAGGTCATCAGCTGTCAGCAGGGAGGCCCCGCAGTGGCTGACCAGAGGGCAATGATGCTGGTTAGCATCTTTATTCTGACCTCTAGTGGCTTTTAGATGATTGATGAGTGACCTCAGCTTTAATCTGAAGGTAAACAGCCACTCTAGATAGTCAATAAAAACAAAGCAAAGGTGCATAAAAGGCAGCGAACAGGAATCCAGGGTTGACCTTGAAGGAGTGATCACTTTCATTTCTCGCTGTCTGATAAGGCAGATCTGTGTCAGGTCTCTGGGTGTGTATCATTGCTGTCGTAAACCAAACGAGAGATTTAAAAAATAAATAAATCAACACACCTCTATGACCTGTGCGTCAGGAGTCAGGCGGTCAAACAGGAAGCACATGACTCGCATGTCCCGGCAGTAAAGGACCAGTTCCTCTGGAGTGAACTTCAAGGAGGAGTTTGGGGTCACCAGTTTGGTCCTGTTGGGTCCAACTGAAACACCCAGCAGGGTCAAAATGTTAAACATTCAGTGGAAAAAAGGGCGACTATAAAGCACAAGCATCAGCTTTAGATGATGTCACAGCAGAAGCTTTAAAACACTAACCAATGATGGAGGTTATGGCGAGAAACAGGCGACCACTGGGTGGTTTGTATGGAATTCATTTTGGTCCATTATTATTTTAAGCAAAGAAAAGTGAATTTCCATTTAATAAATTCAATTCAGTTTATTTCTATAGCACCAAAAATTACAACACATGTCATCTCAAGGCACTTTACAGTTCACCAGATCATCCTGTCACATTGATTCAAAGTTTTCTATCTAAGGAAAACCAGTTTATTGCATCGACTAATTGACTCGTAGACAATCCCTCACACCAAGCATGCTTATAGCGACAGTGGAGAGGAAAAACTCCCTTTTAACAAGACGTTTACAAACGTGTCATTAGACAGATGAAGGCTCAGCAGGTAAGAACTCATTCGTGTAACAAAAAAAGAAACCTTAGATTCAGCTACTTATTGTTAAAATGAAAAATATGACATAATTAATATAAATGAGACCAGTTTTAACATTCTATTGAGGAAATGTGAAGTGAAGAGAATTTAAACTGTAAACGGTCGTTTGAAAGAATTCAATCTGTAGAATAATCTAAAAGAGAGACGTTGGAAAAATAAAAAATATATACCGTAAATCCTCTAATATAGGACGGGGCCTTTATTTCACTCAGGTGCATCTTGGTCCAGGTCATTTTTGGAAGGAGGCCAGAATTAGAGGCAGGCCTCTATTTTTATCTGAGCAAAACAGACTACCAGTGGAATAAATAAAAACAAGATTTTCGTCTCTTCGCTGCCATGCTAAACTGAAAACTGAAGTCTCATGTTTCGAGTCAAGAGCAAGTTGATGACCAAGCTACCGTAGCTAAGTTGCCTGGTTACCACCAAACCTACCCGTTATTACATGTGTCTTTCAGGTCGAAACGATTGTGTAAGGCCACTACGTTCTCTGTGTAAGCATGGGACTTCACATGCTAATGGCTCTGATTCGTTAGCGAACATTGCCCCCCTGTGGTACATGTATTTTACTATCACAAGACTGCCCAGAAACATTAATGGTTCTAATTATAGCTCTGCCGACAGCGAGACCGGCCATTGTTAGAGTCCCGGCCGCTCATGGAATACAGGCCAATATTAGAGGATTTACGGTATTTTTAAATAGAATCTGATAAAACAGTGTTGAAGTTCTTGATGAAAGTTTCTTTTCTGAAGAGTAATTTTTTCTTTGTTTAAATTTCCATCTACGAAACATTTTCTTTGTTTGCAACAATAATGGAAGAAAATTCACTCCATATGTTTAAAGGCATTACTCACCAGCAACCACTTTCTCTATGGACGCCAGGGCGATGTCATGATCTCCCAGAAGGATGGGGTCTGCATTGTCCTGCATGGAACAGATAGCAGACAAGAGGCCAGGTTAAGGAGGTCAGTCCTCACATTGGCTCTTTTTGTAAAAAGGCTGCAGCAGCATTAAGATATATGTTGGATATGTCGGCAGTAACATCTACCGAAGAGGATTAGGGCCACTGAAAAAAAAAAAAGTTAACTGATATTTAAATTTTATTTCAGTTTAACATGGGAAAAAAAAAGTCAGATTTCTGACTTTAATCTCAGAATTCTGACTTTAATCTCAGAATTTTGGATCTTCCAGTTTGGACCTGTTCACTTCCTGTCTGGATTAACTGAGTGTGCAGCTGTTCAGAGGAACTCCATCTGAAGTTAAGTTATTTTCTCTGTGATATCTCTGTATCTGAGTAACTCTAACTGACTACTTTAAAACATAGCACCTTCTGCTGCACTTTTCTACTGAGCACTTGTCAGTTTCACACGGTTTTATTTCTGATACCAAGGAGTAGCTAGCCTAGGCTAGCGCTAGCTTAGCATTGCTATGGCTTCTCTCTCTCCCTCCCTTGACTCTTTTCCAACTCTTCCTTCTTCCTCTCCTCTCTCCTGCTCTCTGTGTCAGATGTTCAGTTATTCCTCTGCCTCCTTTAGTGATAATGGGATGTGTAATAAGTGTAGTATTTTTGTAGCTTTGGAGGCGAGGGTGTCAGAGTTAGAATCCAGGCTTCAGGCTGTTGAACATCCAGGAGTTAAAGTAGGCCCCCCACGTAGCTGTCCTCCAAAAGTGCCTGAGCAGCCAGGCGATTGGGTAACTGTACGCAGAAAGCGTAGTCGTGGATCTCTGCCCACTGGTCACCACCAACCCGTTCACGTTTCTAACCGGTTTTCCCCACTCAGTGACACACCCACTGAGAAGCCCACTCTGGTGATTGGCAGCTCCATAGTCAGAAACGTGGCATTAGAGACACCAGGGACCATAGTCAAATGTTTGCCGGGGGCCAGAACGGGCGACATCAAATCCTACCTGAAACTACTGGCTAAGGATAAGGTTAAATACAGTAAGATTGTTATTCACGCTGGTGGTAATGACACCCGGTTACGCCGATCGGAGGTCACTTTGGATGGTGCAGCTCTTCTTTCTAGGAATCTGGCCACATTTATTAGTCCTCCAAAACCCTGACCACCCAGGGTGCAGACCAGGAAGCAGAGTTGTAGTTTAACACACATCTCTGCAGCTTCTCTACTGTTACCCACTCTTTACTCCATCCAGACAGTGTCTTGCCCACAACCAAAATCTAATAAATTAGCAAAGATTCCCAAAGGAGTAAATCATGATAATCTAATTAAAATCAAAATAACTCCAATTGGGGAAAAAGTTAAAACAATTAAATGCGGTCTGTTTAACATAAGATCGCTTTCCTCTAAAAGTCTGCTAGTTAATGACTTGATTTGTGATAATCACATTGACTTGTTTTGCCTTACAGAAACCTGGCTGCAGCAAGAGGATTATGTGAGCATAAATGAGGCAACTCCTTCAAGCTATTTAAATTTTCACATACCCAGAAGTTCTGGGCGAGGAGGAGGAGTAGCAACAATCTTCCAGTCTGACTTACTGATTACTCCCAAAACAGTTAATACCTACAACTCTTTTGAACATTTAACCCTTAATTTCCCTGATCCAAATTTCAAGGCAAGAAAACCTCTTCTTTTTGTAACTTTGTATCGTCCACCAGGTCCTTACTCTGAATTTTTAGATGAGTTTTCAGAGTTCCTTTCTGATTTGGTATTAAATACTGACAGGGTCATCATAGTGGGAGATTTTAACATCCATGCTGACATTGAAGGCGATAGCTTAAGAGCAGCCTTTAATGCTATCTTAGACACTATTGGCTTTGTTCAAAATGTGAATAGTCCCACGCATTCTCATCTTCATACTTTGGATCTTGTGCTGACATACGGCATAGAATGTGAAGAAATAACAGTATTTCCTCACAACCCTGTCCTCTCTGACCACTTTCTAATAACCTTCAGGATTACTTTAACAGAGTTCTCCTCCCCCAAAAGAAGGTTCAATTTTAGTACTTTATCAGATAGTGCAGTTATAAATTTTAAAGAATCTGCTTCACTTTCTCTCTCCTCTGTGTCGCTGAGCAGTGCTGCAGAGTGCAAAAGCATAGCTTATTCCCCTTCACAGGTTGATGATTTTGTTGATGGGGTTGCTGTTCTTGCATTGCCTTAGACAACGGCTCCTTTGAAAAGAAAACCGTTAAAAATAAAAAGCTTGCTCCGGGTTTTTAATGCAGAGGATCTTTTAACTTTAGGAAAAAGGAGGGGAAAAATACGGCGCGGAGTCCTTCCCGCGGGAAAAAGGCCGTTTAAAAGAGGACCTTTGGCGAGCAGCTCCCTTTTCCATTTGGGAGAATGTAACCTTTGACCAGTTCCCACCCAGTGGTTTTTAAGCCCTTTGAAGGTTTTTTGGGGAATTTTTTAAATGTTGACTTTTTAAAAAAAGGTCGCCTCCCTAGCTTGTAATGGGGTAGTATGGAACGCCGGGAGATCTTTTTCCCAGTTAACTTTTGTTGAAATTTTTTTTTTTATTAGCCTTCAAGAGTTGTCGCCAAAGGTTTTTTAAAGGGGGGGTTTCCCTTTTTCCCCCTCCCGATGGAAATTTTTTAACGTTTGGGGTGTCCAAAACTTTTTGTTTTTTTTTCCCCGCAAAAAACCCTTTCCCGATGCTTGGGGAATTATAACCTATATCCAATCTTCCCCTTTTTATCCCCAAATTCTTGGAAAAGTAGTTGCCCCCCAAGTTTGCGATCACTTACACCATAATGAACTTTTTTTAAAGTTTCAGTTTTGGCTTTAGGTCATCATAGCACTGAAAAGCTCTGGCGGGGAAGTCACTAATGGAAATTTCATGGCCTAGAAATGGACTTGTATTGTGCTTGTCCTGTTAGACTTAGTGCTTGATTTGATCAGTTGAATAAATTTTCTTTTTGAAAGACTTGAATTTTTTTTTGTTGGAATTAAAGGAAAATCACTAGATTTTTAATTTTTTTCTATTGATCGAATTCAGTTTGTTCATGTTAAAGATAGATCTTCAACACACTAAAGGTTACCTGTGGAGTACCACCCGGGATAGTGCTAGGACCAATTTTTTTACTTTTACATGCTCCCAATTGGGGAAATTATTGACAGATGGGATTAATTTCCACTGTTATGCTGATGATACCCAGCTATATCTGTCTATAAATCCAGATGAAGCTAACCCATTACATAGATTACAGGCATGTCTTGAAGACATAAAAACCTGGATGACTCTTAACTTTCTGCTTCTGAATGCAGACAAAACAGAAGTTATAGTCTTTGGACCAGAGTCTCTGAAAAAGAAACTGATTAGCCAGTCGCATCATTTGGATGGGATTAAACTGATTTCAGATAATAAAGTAAAAAATCTTGGTGTTATTTTTGATCAGGACCTGTCATTTAAATCCCATATCAAAGAGGTTTCTAGAATTTCCTTCTTTCATCTGAGGAACATTGCAAAAATTAGAAGTCTCCTGTCCAGGGGTGATGCTGAGAAACTAGTCCATGCATTTGTTACTTCAAGGCTAGACTATTGTAATTCTTTACTATCAGGAAGTCCACAAACTGTAGTTAAAAGCCTTCAGCTGATCCAAAATGCTGCAGCCAGAGTTCTGATGAAAATTAAAAAGAGAGATCATATCTCACCTATCCTGGCTTCTCTTCATTGGCTTCCTGTTAAATCAAGAATAGAATTTAAAATCCTCCTTCTCACATATAAAGCCTTAAATGGCCAAGCTCCATCTGATATCAGAGATCTGATTGTTCCTTATGTTCCTAACAGAGCACTTCGCTCTCAATCTGCAGGCTTACTAGTGGTTCCTCAGGTTATCCTGAGCTATCTCTATAGTTATGCTGCTATAGGCTTAGACTTTTGGAGGACATAGGGACCCCCATTTCATCATTCTGCTTCATTCTCTCTCTGTTCTCCTATTCTGCAGAATCTGTTAGTTCAATCTCTAACCTTCTGCTCTCTCTGCTTTTCCTCAGAGTAGCTTTGCCTCGTCTGTTCCTGTTTGGCTGTGACTCCATCCTGGAAAGAAACATCAGCTGTGCTGCTTCCATCAACACCCTTGTTTATAGATGTTGGAGATCGGCCTGTTTTCCAGTGTGGTCCTGTTTCTCTGACCGTGACTGAGTGGATGTGCTCTTTTCATCCTCTGGCATGGGAGCTGCCTTGGAGCTCGTCTGCCTGGCTGTGTGTTTCCTGGACGGGGCCGCCTTTTACAGCTGCTTTTTGTATCTCTGCTTCTGTCTCATTGAACCCCAGTCGGGCTCGGCAGATGGCCGCTCACACTGAGCCTGGTTCTGCTGGAGGTTTCTTCCTGTTAAAAGGGAGTTTTTCCTCTCCACTGTCGCTACAAGCTTGCTTAGTGTGAGGGATTGTATTTGAGTCAATGAGTCAATGCAATCAACTGGTTTTCCTTAGATAGAAAACTTTGTATCAATTTGACTGTATGATCTGGTTGAACTGTAAAGTGCCTTGAGATGACATGTGTTGTGAATTTGGCGCTATATAAATAAACTGAATTGAATTGAATCTTAATGTAGATGGGCACCATGAAGGAAGAGATGTGGAGCACTCAGCTTCACTGACAAAGATGTGAGTTGTTTGAGGTGGCCAGTGACACATTGGTGGAAAATGAAGGAATTAGGCAACTTTTTACGTGCCCGAGGGGTCCCCTCATTAATGGAGGAGCAGAAGGTCATTAAAACAAGAGAGCTAGTCTCTAAAACAGACATGGCTATGGCTTGATGCTAACATGTTTGTTAGCTGTAAGAATTCTGAGAAAAAAGTCAGAATTCTGAGAAATTAAAGTCAGAATTCTGAGATTAAAGTCAGAATTCCGAGAAAAAGTTAGAATTCTGAGAAAAAAGTCAGAATTCTGAGACTAGTGTCAGAATTCCGAGAAAAAAGTCAGAATTCTGAGATTAGTCAGAATCCTGAGAAAAAAGTCAGAATTCTGAGAAAAAAGTCAGAATTCCGAGATTAAAGTCAGAATTCCGAGAAAATAGTCAGAATTCTGAGATTACAGTCAGAATTCTGAGATAAAAGTTAGAATTCTGAGATTAAATTTAGAATTCTGAGATTAAAGTCAGAATTCTGAGATTAAAGTCAGAATTCCGAGAAAAAAGTCAGAATACTGAGATTAAAGTCAGAATTCCGAGAAAAAAGTCAGAATTCTGAGAAAAAAGTCAGAATTCTGAGAAATTAAATTTAGAATTCTGAGATTAGTCAGAATTCTGAGATTAAAGTCAGAATTCTGAGATTAAAGTCAGAATTCTGAGATTAAAGTCAGAATTCCGAGAAAAAAGTCAAAATTCCGAGAAAAAAGTCAGAATTCCGAGAAAAAAGTCAGAATACTGAGATTAAAGCCAGAATTCTGAGACTAGTGTCAGAATTCCGAGAAAAAAAGTCAGAATTCTGAGATTAGTCAGAATTCTGAGAAAAAAGTCAGAATTCTGAGAAATTAAAGTCAGAATTCTGAGATTAAAGTCAGAATTCCGAGAAAAAGTTAGAATTCTGAGAAAAAAGTCAGAATTCTGAGACTAGTGTCAGAATTCCGAGAAAAAAGTCAGAATTCTGAGATTAGTCAGAATTCCGAGAAAATAGTCAGAATTCCGAGATTAAAGTCAGAATTCCGAGAAAATAGTCAGAATTCTGAGATTACAGTCAGAATTCTGAGATTACAGTCAGAATTCTGAGATTAGTCAGAATTCCGAGAAAATAGTCAGAATTCCGAGATTAAAGTCAGAATTCCGAGAAAATAGTCAGAATTCTGAGATTACAGTCAGAATTCTGAGATTAAATTTAGAATTCCGAGAAAAAAGTCAGAATTCCGAGAAAAAAAGTCAGAATTCCGAGAAAAAAGTCAGAATTCTGAGAAAAAAGTCAGAATTCTGAGAAAAAAGTCAGAATTCCGAGATTAAAGTCAGAATTCCGAGAAAATAGTCAGAATTCTGAGATTACAGTCAGAATTCTGAGATAAAAGTTAGAATTCTGAGATTAAAGTCAGAATTCTGAGATTAAAGTCAGAATTCCGAGAAAAAAGTCAGAATACTGAGATTAAAGTCAGAATTCCGAGAAAAAAGTCAGAATTCTGAGAAAAAAGTCAGAATTCTGAGAAATTAAATTTAGAATTCTGAGATTAGTCAGAATTCTGAGATTAAAGTCAGAATTCTGAGATTAAAGTCAGAATTCTGAGATTAAAGTCAGAATTCCGAGAAAAAAGTCAGAATTCCGAGAAAAAAGTCAGAATACTGAGATTAAAGCCAGAATTCTGAGACTAGTGTCAGAATTCCGAGAAAAAAGTCAGAATTCTGAGATTAGTCAGAATTCTGAGAAAAAAGTCAGAATTCTGAGAAATTAAAGTCAGAATTCTGAGATTAAAGTCAGAATTCCGAGAAAAAGTTAGAATTCTGAGAAAAAAGTCAGAATTCTGAGACTAGTGTCAGAATTCCGAGAAAAAAGTCAGAATTCTGAGATTAGTCAGAATTCCGAGAAAATAGTCAGAATTCCGAGATTAAAGTCAGAATTCCGAGAAAATAGTCAGAATTCTGAGATTACAGTCAGAATTCTGAGATTACAGTCAGAATTCCGAGAAAAAAGTCAGAATTCTGAGATTAAAGTCAGAATTCCGAGAAAAAAGTCAGAATTCCGAGAAAAAAGTCAGAATTCCGAGAAAAAAGTCAGAATTCCGAGAAAAAAGTCAGAATTCTAAGAAAAAAGTCAGAATTCTAAGAAAAAAGTCAGAATTCTGAGAAATTAAATTTAGAATTCTGAGATTAGTCAGAATTCTGAGATTAAAGTCAGAATTCTGAGATTAAAGTCAGAATTCTGAGATTAAAGTCAGAATTCCGAGAAAAAAGTCAGAATTCCGAGAAAAAAGTCAGAATTCTGAGACTAGTGTCAGAATTCTGAGATTAGTCAGAATTCCGAGAAAAAAGTCAGAATTCTGAGAAAAAAAGTCAGAATTCTGAGAAAAAAGTCAGAATTCCGAGATTAAAGTCAGAATTCTGAGAAAAAAGTCAGAATTCCGAGATTAAAGTCAGAATTCCGAGAAAATAGTCAGAATTCCGAGAAAAAAGTCAGAATTCTGAGATTAAAGTCAGAATTCCGAGAAAAAAGTCAGAATTCTGAGAAATTAAATTTAGAATTCTGAGATTAAAGTCAGAATTCTGAGATTAAAGTCAGAATTCCGAGATTAAAGTCAGAATTCCGAGAAAAAAGTCAGAATGCTGAGATTAAAGTCAGAATTCTGAGACTAGTGTCAGAATTCTGAGAAAAAAGTCAGAATTCCGAGATTAAAGTCAGAATTCTGAGAAAAAAGTCAGAATTCCGAGATTAAAGTCAGAATTCCGAGAAAATAGTCAGAATTCCGAGAAAAAAGTCAGAATTCTGAGATTAAAGTCAGAATTCCGAGAAAAAAGTCAGAATTCTGAGAAATTAAATTTAGAATTCTGAGATTAGTCAGAATTCTGAGATTAAAGTCAGAATTCTGAGATTAATGTCAGAATTCCGAGAAAAAAGTCAGAATTCTGAGAAAAAAGTCAGAATTCTGAGATTAAAGTCAGAATTCCAAGAAAAAAGTCAGAATTCTGAGAAATTAAATTTAGAATTCTGAGATTAAAGTCAGAATTCTGAGATTAAAGTCAGAATTCTGAGATTAAAGTCAGAATTCCGAGATTAAAGTCAGAATTCCGAGAAAAAAGTCAGAATTCCGAGAAAAAAGTCAGAATTCCGAGAAAAAAGTCAGAATACTGAGATTAAAGCCAGAATTCTGAGATTAGTCAGAATTCCGAGAAAAAAGTCAGAATTCTGAGAAAAAAGTCAGAATTCCGAGATTAAAGTCAGAATTCTGAGAAAAAAGTCAGAATTCCGAGATTAAAGTCAGAATTCCGAGAAAATAGTCAGAATTCCGAGAAAAAAGTCAGAATTCTGAGATTAAAGTCACAATTCCGAGAAAAAAGTCAGAATTCTGAGAAATTAAATTTAGAATTCTGAGATTAAAGTCAGAATTCCGAGAAAAAAGTCAGAATTCTGAGATTAAAGTCAGAATTCCGAGAAAATAGTCAGAATTCTGAGATTAAAGTCAGAGTTCCGAGAAAAAAGTCAGAATTCGGAGATTAAAGTCAGAATTCTGACTTTTTTTCCCATATTAAACTGAAATAAAATTTAAAAAACTTTTTTTTTCAGTGGCCCTAATCCTCTTCCGTAAACATCTGTATCCGCAGTTTTTGGTCTTTTTTTAAGCATATCAGCATATAAGTAAAGCTGGGCCCTTTCAACAACCAGTCTTAGTTATCAGGTAGTTACTGTTTTTGTTTCAGGAGGGGATGGGTCATGTGTTGTTTTGTCATGTGACTGTGGTCCAGCTCAGGACTGGTGGTGTTGAACTGAAGCGGCAGGTGAGATCAGCAGGTGGTCTTGTTTTTTTTTTTTTTTTTTGTTTTTTTAATGGTGTTCAAAGTGTCGAGACCCATAATGGTGATGTTAGTATTGGCCCAGATTTTCTTATCTCTAAGATATTCTTACACTAGTGACTCTAAGATTTTGTTTTTTGAGGATCATGTTTACCAAATCTTTGTTTCCAGGTTTAAAAAGTGCATACATGATCGAACGGCTTAGATTTCAGCACCATTGTCTCCAAGCTGCTGTTTCCTGCTGGACTAGCCATCTCTCACACCCCTTTACAAACTCAATGTACAACATGGATGCATAAAAACCTGATTTTATTTGAGTGTTAAATGCTGTTTAAAGTAACGGACTACAATTAAAGATGTCTCCGGAGCTTTATTGGTTGATGACTTTCTTTATTCGGACCCCGCTGGGTTTTAATTGAGCTACAGTATATTATTCTCAGTTCTCCCCACCACTGGTTAGAACTGAAGAAGCCTCTTGGATGAAAGAAGAAACGTCTTCTAGAAATATTCACATCTGCCTTAACCATGACCTGGATGCCTAAGAATCTTCACAGATAAGTTAAGAAAAAAAAAAACTTCTTTACTGAAACTAAAACTAAACTATCAAATATAGAAATGACTAAATGGAGACTAAAATAAACAACCGTTTTTATCCAAGACATGAAGACGACAATTAGAATGGCTTCTAATACAATAACAGTTTGCAGCTCGTAGAAAATAAGTTTTTTTTTTTAGAATAATAACCATAATAATATTAATATCTACAGTCTGTCATGTGTTTTTCCAGTTAGGGACCAACTTCTTTTCTCACCAATGAAAACATTCAGACTCACGTCGGCTTTGGGGCCGTCCTGGGGAACAAAAGCCACTCTGAAGTGGGTACAGAAGAGGGTACCAGAGAGCCATCCTCTGCCTTCCCTGGCGGTCAGCTTCTTCCTCACCATGGCGGTCCTCTGAAGGACACATTCGCCTAGAAGACAGACAGGAGAGGGTCTGTTAGAGAGAGGCGGGTATTCAACAGGATCAGATCAGATTCAAAACATCGGAATTAGGGCTGAAACAAATAATCTAAAATAATTATCTGAAATCAGTTTAATCCCATCCAAATGAAGTGACTGACTAATCATCTCCTTTTCCAAAGACTATAACAAATGTTTATTTTGAAATCTTTATTCACCAAAAGTATCTTTTTATCCGAGTGAGAAAAAAACATTGATAGATTATTGGATTACTGAAATAATCAACAGGTGCTGCGGCTGTTGCTTCAGTGAGGATCTACAGGAATTACACAAAGAACAGGAGTGAGTAATAAGCAGCTGGGAGTGGGCGGAACAACATCCTGACAGCAAGAGGTACGTCCTTCTATTGTTCCAAGTCAGTCCTGACCAGCCGAGCGCATTGTGGTCATCTGTCCTCGACTCATTACAATAAATCAGTTTAATACGATCTCAATTAAAGTCGTAGGGAAATCATATTTAAATGTCAAATCATTCTGGCTTAAACATGTATATAAATGTACTCTTTATCAAACTATTATCCCAAAAGTTAGAAAAAAAATAAAATAAAAATTTTAATCTTGTCCTAAAATCATGTATTTTTTTTTTTTTTCTTTTTCGTTTCTTTATGCAAGCCAGTTAGTACGGAAGAGGATTAGGGCCAGTGGAAAAAAAAAAAAAGTTAACTGATTTATAAATTTTATTTCAGTTTAGTATTGGAAAAAAGTCAGAATTCTGACTTTAATCTCAGAATTCTGACTTTAATCTCAGAATTTTGACTTTAATCTCAGAATTCTGACTTTAATCTCAGAATTCTGACTTTTTTCTCAGAATTCTGACTTTTTTCTCAGAATTCTGACTTTAATCTCAGAATTCTGACTTTTTCCTCAGAATTCGGACTTTAATCTCAGAATTCGGAATTTTTTCTCAGAATTCTGACTTTTTTCTCAGAATTCTGACTTTTTTCTCAGAATTCTGACTTTTTTCTCAGAATTCTGACTTTAATCTCAGAATTCTCACATTAATCTCAGAATTCTGACTGAATTCTGACAATAAAAAAGTCAGATTTCTGAGATTAAAGTCAGAATTCTGACTTTTTTTCCCATATTAAACTGAAATAAAATTTAAAAATCAGTTAACTTTTTTTTTTTCAGTGGCCCTAATCCTCTTCCGTAAGTTAGTTATACGTCAGCCTGTACACCTAAATACGGTAAAGTCGGGCACCACTTGGGAGAATTCGGAAATGCAACGGTTGGAAGAGTCGCTTCTCTACGACTTTAAAGATGAAGGTGGAGTCTGTTGTGTTTCGTTTGGGGGCAAAGATACGAGAGGAACTGGGTCCTTTTTACGCATCACCACAGATGTGTGTAAACATGTTCATAACTGAAGAAGAAAAAAGAGAAAATACAGGCAGCAGTGAGGCAGCACATTTCCAGGAATAAAAGACTCAGCTTCCATGGCAACAGAGAGCAGAACCAGGGAGGCGAGGAGAAAACAAGAGGTTTCAGCTTCACTTAAAAGATTAACCATAAACCACCTGGGGAAAGACCAAATTCCTTCGTCACTGATGTGAAAAGGAACCGGGACGGACTTCCACCTTTGGGCCGGTCCATTTTTCCTCTCTGCTGTGATCAGGAGGAAACCAACACAAACAGGAAATGGCCATTTTTACAGTTTATACACTTGCTTCTGCTGCTGAGCACAGAAGTAGACCCCCTTAAAAAAAAAAAAAAATCTGATTGCACAAGAGAAGTTTAAATCAAACCGTCTAAACTATAATTAAGCTTTAAAACAGCTCCAGACTGGATTTATGAATCAAACTAAACCACAAATGATCCAGCAGCAGCAGAGATTTCAGCCTCTGTCAGAGCACAACATGTGGTTCTCTTTAAAGTCTCCTCTGGGAGCGACAGAGCTGAAAACACTCCTGCAGGCTACAGCTTTTAAAAGTGAAACAAAAAGAAAGACGGGGAACAGGCATCTAGAGTTAGATTTTCATCCCGGTTAGTCAGCAGGATCAGTAAAGGTGTTTATGTTCGCCCTTTAATCCCATAAAGTCTTTTTTATGGTGTTCCTGTAGAGCTCCAATTGTAGTTAAATGAGCCCTTACTCCATTAACACAGACTGGTTCCACATTCAGTCACCAATTAAAAAAGGAAACCTCTTAACTGTTCCTGTCTTTCATTAATTTCTTTAATTACACAAATCTGTTGCATTTCTCTGCAACTGACTGACTGGTGACCCCCGCACCGGACCCACCGCGACCCAGACGGAGTGGGCGGGAGAAGATGGACTGACAGATGGATGGGTGGACAGAACATTTCTTGCACATTTTCTAACCTTTCCCTTTCAAAAATAAAACACTTAAAAGAAGCAGATAATCAGGCTGTATTGAGGAATAAAAGCAAAAACATTTTGATTTATAAAAGCAGTAATGGTATTTATGGCACCAGGAAGCTTTGAATAATAAGAGGAAAACACAATCAAGCCGTTTTTGCCATCACCAATATTAAAGTTTATACATAAATTCGTTTGAAGTAGCATTTTGCTAACCTGACTCCGCCAGATGGATTTGCTCCGCATATCCATCTGGAAACCTTCCGTTGAAGTCATTTTGGGAAGGGGCGAAAATACTGGTTAGCTGATTGGCCTATGTTGGTGATAGACGGGCCAAATAAACCAATCACATCAACGAAGCATATGACGTACTAACAGAGCGACGACAAAAACACAACCACAAGCCAGGCACAAGCCAATTGATAGATCAAACTCTTGCCGAAACCAGTCGGGAGAAGAGCAAAAACATCTTTTCCTCTGAGAAAAGCCTCCAGAGCAGTGTTTTGCTCTTCTTTCAGTGAAGAAATACTCTGTAATTCCGATAAAACTTGCTCGATAGCCACGCTAACGCTAGTTTCATCGGCTGAAGCCGCCATGTTCTTTAGACTGAACTGTCGCACTTCTCGTTGCGTCACACCTCAACCCACCTCAAAGCCAACGCTGATTGGACATTCGTTTGGTGAACCGCTCCAAATTTTCTTTAACGGAGAGTCTCCAGACTGATCTGCGAGTGAAACCTTGAAAGCTCGCGAGATCAGGATGGTCTCACGAGGGTAAGGGGTCACTATATTTGGGCAAAAATGGCCACTCCCAGACTCAGCGATCGTGACGAAAATTATTGTTTTCATTATTTTTTTACTTAACACTAAATTCAATAAATCACCGCTAACTTATTAGCTTTATATATAGATATTGATCTGCAAAGTTTGATGCTCTGCTGTTCATTTGCTCGAAGCGTTTTACCAAAGACAGATTTCAAAATCTTGGACAGTTCACAGCAGAATTTGCTAAACTTCTTTTACTTAATTGAGGGGCTGTTCCAACCCTAAGGCCATCACAACCGCAAGCTGGAAGTTTTTTTCTGTCGCTAAGCTGTTGATAGCAATGCTAGCATATCTAAGGTGACCAGATTTTGGTTTCCCGTAATCCCGTACGATTCTGAAATTCCCCCCGGACATTTTTTAGATATGAAAAGTAGGAAATGTCTGGGAAAAAGAGGACGTCTGGTCACCCTACCATATCAACAATCTCAATGTTTCAGTAAGTGAGTGCTTGTTGCTATGATTCGTCTTTACTCAGCAGCTTCGCTCGTTGTAAACCAACTAATCAGAGCACAGCTCGTTGAAATATTCATGATCATACCATAAAAGGAAGAAAACATGTTGTTTCATTCTAGGGCTTTTAACCAGGCTGCATTAGGGCTCATAGAACAGCTAATATGCCATTTTCAGCCCAACCAATGTTACACACCCTATTCAGAGACCTTAAGGACCAGATACCCTATAGAATCATTCTATGAGCACTTTAATTAAACACACTTATCATTTATTGAACAGTATGTAATAATTTCATATTTAAATTACTTTCAGAAGTTTCAATTCTGAATATGACCGGACTTTTCCTTTAAAGAGTTTTCAGTTTAAAGCTTAAACAATTGATTTTATTGCCCAATGAAACCAGAGAATGCAAAGATCATCGCTCTATTGTCCATCAATCGATAAGCTATGCAGCTGACTGACAGCTTTTAGGATCCTCAGTAACCTTAGACCGAGTACAGAAGGGATTGTGAAGTTGCGCTGAAGGGGGTGCGGGCCCCTGGCTTTGTGTGCGGACGGACAGTACCCCCCCTCCTCCCCTGCTAGCATTCAAACGGTACATGATCTACCCATGGCTGCTGGAGCTACGCTGACCCGTCTGACCTCCTGCGGGCCAGCTCCGTTTCTGAGGTCCTGTGTCCCGGCGTCACATGAGAACATCGGGCCACGCTGCGAGTCCGGTAACTACTGACAGAACAGAACGACTCAGGCATCTTCATTCGTCATCCACGCATTTATCATTTTTACCCAAATAGGGATATAAAACCCCCCAAAAGTTTGGTCTCTACCTTGATTATTACCGCCTGTTTCAGCACAGCTGAGCTGGCAGATGTTGTTTCTGTTATTGTTTGCATGAAGGTGCAGCAGGGGAGAAAGTTAAGAGTCCGCCGCTGCAACCTGAGCCCTTTCACTTGCTGCAGTTACACCGACTTCTGACTCCTTTGTGTCTGACAGAACTCACCGTTACAAACTGCCTCTACGCTTTGCCAGGAGATGGATTCCTCCACCTGAATCAGAACCAGGGTTCTTTTTTAAATCGACACAATATTTACATGCTAGGGAAAATAAAGAATATAAAACCTTGTATCATTCTTCCCTCTCTTCAAGGTCGGCTGTGTTTTTAAACTAGCTGGAATGAAGGTGGAAAATATAAGTTTTCAAAGGAGACGTCAAAAGCAGCCCAGGAAAAATAAGCCTTCAATAATTCAATTAAAGGGACAGAGACGAAAATGTCAATAAAACAAAATTAAAACTTTGATATCTTTACATTTTGAACTAATTTCTTTGTTGACAAGTAAAATAATGTCATTAATTTTCCTGTTTTTATGGGTAATCCAGCGATAAACTCCTGGGTTGCAGGAGAAATGTTGCCAGAGCTACGCATTCACAGTCACAACAAATTCACCTTTTTTCATATTTTAAATCTGAAATTTCCTTTTTTTTTTTTTACCAACATCCTGGATGTTTCAGTCAAGCTGTGTTTTACGCCCTCTGTGCTCCACGAGTTATGAAGTTCAACTGCAGTGAAGTTATTTTCCAGTTCAGCTGTGTGGTTAAAGGTCCTTTTTACAGCTTTTTTAGCTTCCAGAGCAGATCTGAGCAACATTTACAGTCCAGGTCCAAGACATGTTTGGCCTGTTTTAGCTAAAAGAAACTCTGGTAGAGCCTCAAAGGTTACACCATTTTCAGTTTAAAAAGAACATGTGCAGTTTTGCAACCATTTACAAAGAAATGCAATTTCTCCTTATTAGGTTGCTGGTGAAGATTCTCAGTCATCCACGTCTTAGTGATTCCAAAAAAAACAATCCACTGGACTTTGTTTACAAGTTTGTAAACTTTTTTCACCTGAGTGAAGTTGCCCCCCAACCGTCAAACGTTTGTGCTGGTTTGTGCAGCAAAAATTTTCGTTTGTGCCGGTACTAGGTTGGTTCGACTGTCTCGGTTCGGTTCGTGTGTGTTGCGTTCGGTTCATGCGCTGCTCCTTTTTCTCATAGGCGAAGCGTTTACACTCCAGAGCAGAAGGTGGCGGTACTGCGACCAAAGCCAACCACCAGTAGTAAACAAGAAGAAGAAGAAGTGAAGCAGCGTAGCCGGGTGTAGCAGAAAAAAATCAGTTGTTGTGGAGAATTGTGTGGGTATGGCGAGTGGGAAAGAACAGGAGTTGGAAGACGCGCCAGCAGCACTTTATAGGTCTGCTGTATGGGACCACTTTGCATTTAGAGTGACCTACGATGACGGCGGAAAGAAAGTTGAGGATAAAGTGCAACAGTGTGCAAGCATTGCGCAACACGTTTTGTTAATGCTAACAGCAACACGACCAACATGTCATGCTAACCCTGAAATCCCACATACTCCGTCAGCGCTCCAGACCGCCTGCACAAAGCAAAGCCTACAGCCTCCACTGAGGCTCCCGTCCGCTCCGCTCTGAGTCTCTTGGAGATCGTAGAGGGCATGCGCCAGATGATTAAATTCAAAGCAGCAAAACATGTGGAAATGATCCAGGGTTTCTGCGAATCATTAAAAATAATTACAATTCATAAATTTTTTGGGATTTTTTCATTAATGTCATTAATTATTATGGGATTTCGGGGTAACAATCAACATATACCGAATTGAAAACCGTGACCACGAAACCGTGAACCGAACCGTGGATTTTGTGAACCGTTCCACCCCTAGCCGGTACTAGGGATGCACGATATAATCGGCCCCCTATCGGTATCGGCCTGTATCGGCCTTAAAACTGAATATAGGACATCGGCCACCCCACCGATATTTAACCCGATATTTGATCAGCTTCTGAGTTTCTAAAGTCTAAAAAAAAAAATAAAAATACTACTTGTTATTCTTCATCAAAAACTTCTTTTTTACAGACTTAAAAACTTCTAAAGACGGGGGAAAAAATATTGATACATTAAAATATCACAATGTTTTCATATGCTGATATATTGCCATTTAAAAACACCATATCAATCTCTTTTACTAATGAAATATTGCTATATGTCATCGTTATGCTACGAAATCCCCCGAAAATCCACGAAATTTTGCCATATTTTTATATGTTGATATATTGACGCGGTATCGATCTATTTTACTAACAAAATATCACGAGAGTTTGTAACAGAACGATGAAATTTCACGAGATTTTGAAAGTAAAATAGATCGATACCGCGTTTTTAAAAATCAATTTGATATCAGCATATGAAAATATATTTGAGTATATTATTTTTCAAAGTGTCAGAAATGGATAACAAAACTGTTATTTTCAATGACAACTTATTTTTGTCCAGCTTTAACATCAATATCAATATCGGCTACATAAGTTTTAAAATATCGGAATATCGGATATCGACCAAAATCCCAATATCGTGCATCCCTAGCCGGTACCATTTTAAAGATATAAAGAAATATTTCTAGAGGTCATCAAAGGTCAACCAGCCCCCCCCACTTTCTTCAAATCAGACGAAATGGGTGTCAATGAACTCAGGCTTTGAACTTTGGCTTTGAAGATATTCCCCAGATTTGCGTCCCCCGGTGTGCATTTCCCCCTGACGTACCTTCTCCCACGCAAAAACAGAATTTCATTTCAAATGTAGAAATTCCGCGTTTACACTAGATTCCGCGTTAATTTGCCAATTCCGCGATTCCGTCCGCGATTTCGTGATCGCGGAAATTATAGGGCCCTACAAATTGGCTGTATTTCCTCACCAGCCTTCAGTACGCTGATCATTACCGCTTAACACCTGAATTAAAAATTTGTAAAGATCCCGTTGGTCAAAAGTGGACATTTTGAGATGAACTAAAGTGAAATAAAGTGAAATGGGCCTACCTGGAAGACACCGGAGTCCAAACACATCTCGACTCCTGGCGCTGTTGCCGCTCTGGCTCAGCATCCTCTCCTAAATGAAAAACAACATGATTAGAGTTCAGTCGCTTCAAATCCTGTTTGACTGAGAAAACTTTGGATAAAGACCAGAAGGAGCAGTAAAAACAGCAGCTCTATGTCCATTTAGACGCTAATCATCCTTTAGCACTTCAAACCTTCTACTTCTTCTCACTGAAATACTGAAAACCTCAAAGAAAGAAGCAGAAGAGGTGAAAACCTAGGAGTATATTCAAGTTAATGTTAAAAACCTGTACAAGAAAATATGAAAAATCGCATAAATTAAAGATTAAATAAAATATTAAAATGTACAGGAAGGAAATAGGCTACAGTAATAATTCATTAAAAAAATAGATAAGCGCTGATATAACAATCTGGGCCAATACTGATAACCAATATGTGCCGACATCATAAAATCCATCCCTGACAAAAAGTTATTTCATGTGTGTAATCATAAGTTTATCTATGTTGTATAATCAAACAAAGCATTTCCTCTGTCGTAATGACATTTAACACCTTTTAATCCTACTCTTTAGGGTTTTTTTTTTGTTGGTCCAAGTTTGGTCATTTTTTTTAAGGATTATTGGGAAACTTCTTTCTAAATCCACATCTGAAATTGGGCCGTCTAATCCAAGAGTCGGCATGTCCTAAGGTGTGCTTTAAACGACAGCATGATGAATGAAGAGCAGTACACAGAACAGGAAGTGCTTTTATCTTGATAAACAGGAAGTGCCTCTGAAGTCACACGGCGAGCTTCACAGAGAGAGAAGAGCATCATGGGGCGAAAGTTTATTTTGTTTGGAAAGAGGCCGAGCCCATTTCATATTAAGTTTGGTTAGAGACGCATCTGATCAGTCACCGACAAACAGCTTCCCGTATGGAGGATAAAAAAGTGCCAAAATTAAATAAATAAATACAGCATTAAATAAATAATTAAATGTGTCAATAATTAATTAAATGTGGAATTAAATAAATAAATGTGTCATTCATTCATTAAAACCACGTCACTAATATAAAGTGCCAAAATTAAATAAAAAAATACAGCGATAAACAATTAATTAAATGTGTAATTCATTAAATAAATAAGGAATTAAATATATAAATGTGTCATTAATTTAATAAAATACGTCTTCATTTTATTAAAAATCTATATATAATTATTTCAGTGTGCGTTTAATTATTTCATGGTCCTGTGTCGCAGTGCATCGAAACCATTAAAAGAATCTGTCAAACTCACCCATCAAAGTTAGGGGGCGGGGTTAAAGCGAATCGAGTATCTGTAATCGATTTGCTTCGCCTTAATGTGCAGGGTGACCAATCAGGTGTTAGATAACCGCCCCCATTGGTCATGCACAAAAAAACTCTTTAAGTTCAGATCATAATAGGCTTGAACGAAACACCAAAAAGACATTAAATCTGGGTTTTTTTGGACATGACTAAAGGGACACACCCCCATTGAGGTAGTTTAAAGTGTATTTTTCTTACAAAACTAAGGGGATAAACGGGTATTGTCTATGGGTATGCTGGTCTGACATCAGCAAGAAGCAGGGAAAGCCACACAGAGCATAAAGGCTGTAGACGATAACAGGCGGCTCATTTTCCACGAGGAATGTCCATGCGTAGATCAGACAGCTGCAGCTGATCCAGAACGCTGCTGCCCGTGTCCTCACTAGAACTAAGAAAGTAGAGCAAGTCAGCCAAGTTCTGAAATCCTTCCTCTGGTGCCCAGTATCTCAGAGAATAGATTTCAAAATACTTCTGTAAGTCTACAAATCACTGAATAGCTCCAAAATACGTTATAGTTGGCAGTGGATCAACAGCCAGACCGCTCAGGCCTACTGGATCTAATCTGCTCTGTAGAACCAGAACCAAACATAGAGAAGCAGCTTCTTTTGCTCTGCTAATCTGGAAAACACTGCAGGGAAACAACAGCTGGGCTGCTGCCATTAACACATCAGTATTTAGTCCTGTTTTTCTCCTAGACATAACTATGGGGTCCGAATTTGTCCGCTCAACTGTTTCTGTCCTAGCAACCTGTGGGGGTTAATTTTACTCTCACCTTTTCTAAAAATAGAAATTATTCATAGACTCCTACATATATCCCTGCTGAATGCCTGTTTCTGTCTCCTAAAGGAGGAGGAGGTGATAGGAAGAGGAACAAGGGTCAGTTTCCCCCTCCTTGGTTATCTTATGCAAAACATTACCTACTGTCAATCATGTGCAATATTAATTTCTCTCACTGTGCAATAACACATTCTAACAACTGTGTAGCCTGCTAAATTTTCACTTATTTATGTGGTCAGTACAGTTCTGCAGTGTAAGTGCAAAAACCCAATGCAACTACTATGTAGTCTTCCATTAGCTCTCTGCTGTACAGATATCTTTACATCTAAGGGAAACATATTTCAGGACATTACAACTTTTTTCTTATGAATGCTTTTTTGGTACTATATAGACTCTTTTTATATCGCCTGTCTTATTTTTTTTTTTTAATCTTTAATGGCAATTTACTTTAAAGGCTTACTATGCAACATTTTTCAGTTAATTAATGTGTTCCATAACGTTTCGGATGATTAAATGAGTCATTTCAGGTCGAACAAAGGTTTTCTCGGCCGCCCTGGTGGTCTGTAGGGGAAATACCGTACTTGCAATTGCAGGAGCCCTCGGCCCGCACCCGCAGGCTCAGAAGTTCTCGCGAGAGTCGGTTTTGCTTTACGGCGAGAACTGCTACACGCCCCCAGTGAAAGGCATGCTCGTTGCTAGCGCAGTGGCGATATTTGTGCAGTTATCATGGCGGAACCAGTGAGAATTATCAAACTCGAAAATTGGAACAAAATAGTCACCTACCGCAGTATACATGGTGATTCGTTGCATTCGCCTGTCTGCTAAGCTCAAAACAACCACGCTTGGCTTTGACGGAGAAAGCAGGAGACCAGCTGAGAATATTTACGACAGTGCACTTTTAGTTTCGCCCTCTGGGGGGAGCCTCGCTGGAAAATCAACACCGGTTGCATAGTATACCTTTAACTCTTTGTAGTCTATATAAGCTATTGGATCCAGAATTTCCCTAAAGTGGTAATCCCAAGGGATAAATAAAGTTGAGTCCAAGTCTAAATCTTACACTCACCGGCCACTTTATTAGGTACCCATGTTAGTAACGGGTTGGACCCCCTTTTGCCTTCAGAACTGCCTCAATTCTTCGTGGCATAGATTCAACAAGGTGCTGGAAGCATTCCTCAGGGAGTTTGGTCCATATTGACATGATGGCATCACACAGTTGACGCAGATTTGTCGGCTGCACATCCATGATGCGAATCTCCCGTTCCACCACATTGAGATCTGGTGACTGTGGAGGCCATTTGAGTACAGTGAACTCATTGTCATGTTCAAGAAACCAGTCTGAGATGATTCCAGCTTTATGACATGGCGCATTATCCTGCTGAAAGTAGCCATCAGAAGTTGGGTACATTGTGGTCATAAAGGGATGGACATGGTCAGCAACAATACTCAGGTAGGCTGTGGCGTTGCAACGATGCTCAATTGGTACCAAGGGGCCCAAAGAGTGCCAAGAAAATATTCCCCACACCATGATACCACCACCACCAGCCTGAACCGTTGATACAAGGCAGGATGGATCCATGCTTTCATGTTGTAGACGCCAAATTCTGACCCTACCATCCGAATGTCGCAGCAGAAATCGAGACTCATCAGACCAGGCAACGTTTTTCCAATCTTCTATTGTCCAATTTCGATTAGCTTGTGCAAATTGTAGCCTCAGTTTCCTGTTCTTAGCTGAAAGGAGTGGCACCCGGTGTGGTCTTCTGCTGCTGTAGCCCATCTGCCTCAAAGGTCAACGTACTGTGCGTTCAGAGATGCTCTTCTGCCCACCTTGGTTGTAACGGGTGGTTATTTGAGTCACTGTTGCCCTTCTATCAGCTCGAACCAGTCTGGCCATTCTCCTCTGACCTCTGGCATCAACAAGGCATTTCTGCCCACAGAACTGCCGCTCACTGGATGTTTTTTTCTTTTTCGGACCATTCTCTGTAAACCCTAGAGATGGTTGTGCGTGAAAATCCCAGTAGATCAGCAGTTTCTGAAATACTCAGACCAGCCCTTCTGGCACCAACAGTCATGCCACGTTCAAAGTCACTCAAATCACCTTTCTTCCCCATACTGATGCTCTGTTTGAACTGCAGGAGATTGTCTTGACCATGTCTACATGCCTAAATGCACTGAGTTGCCGCCATGTGATTGGCTGCTTAGAAATTAATTGTTAACGAGCAGTTGGACAGGTGTACCTAATAAAGTGGCCGGTGAGTGTAGATATCGACTGTCTCTACCTGCTCATCCGCTCATCTGCCTGGATGCAGGTAGCTGGTTTTCCCTAGAAAACATTTAAACAATCTGTTTGGATGATCAGATTGAATTTTCTCTGTAAAATGCCTTGAGATGACACTTCATGTGAATTGGCACTATATAAATAAACTGAATTATTTAATTACATCTAAGCCACCGCATACAGGTGCTGGTCATAAAATTAGAATATCATGAAAAAGTAGATTGATTTCAGTAATTCCATTTAAAAAGTGAAACTTGTATATTATATTCATACATTACATACAAACTCATATATTTCAGATGTTTATTTTGTTTAATTTTGATGATTACAAATGACAACAAATGAAAATCTCAAATTCATCATATCAGAAAATTAGAATATTACTGAAGACCAATAAAAACAAAGGATTTATAGAAATGTTGGCCAACTGAAAAGTATGAACATGAAAAGTATGAGCATGTACAGCACTCAGTATTTAGTTGGGCCTCCTTTGGCCTGTATTACTGCAGCAATGCGGCGTGGCATGGAGTCGATCAGTCTGTGGCACTGCTCAGGTGTTATGATAGCCCAGGTTGCTCTAATAGTGGCTTTTAGCTCTTCTGAATTGTTGGGTCTGGTGTATTGCATCTTCTTATTCACAATACCCCATAGATTTTCTATGGGGTTAAGGTCAGGAG